GATAGCTAGAAGCAGCATGAAGCGTTCAGGTCCTTCACTTAAGATAAAGTACCAATACAGTAAGGTAAAAATACTCCATTACAAGTAAAAGTACTGAAAAGTGTTAAAGTATCAGTACTTGTTTGGTCCCTCTGATTGATCATCATTCGATTATCGATGGTGCAACTTCGTCATGTTTCTGTTTAAACAAGTTTAACCTGCCTTATATGACGGGTTGTGTTCAGGGACAGCAGGTCACTGGGCGGCAAGGAGATGATTAATACTGGAGGAAATAAGAAAAACTAAGTTCTGATACACAAATCTGTTTCCAGTTTGCCGACTGTTCCTCTAATCTTTGATTTTTTTGGTGAGAAACTGGATCATTTGAACATTTACTGAAATGAAACCATGTGAGCAGTTTGGAGGGAAACTATTTGCTGGAGCTGTTCACAACTCACACACATCTGACATGTGACCTCGACTACTTTCTGCAAGATGTCAAGAGGCCAACAGGCTGGAAACCACTAGTTTAATCCTACACAGCTCACAAGCTTGTTATATTGTGCCTGGTGTGAAATCTCCTCCAAATTAACTAAAGCTGTCAAATAAGTTTAGTGAACAAAGCTCAGTATTTATGAAGTGGGACCATCATGTAGCATGAAATGGGGAAACTCAGCTACAGTCCAACTCGCTCAGTATGGACGTGAATTTACCGAATTACTTTCCATAACTAGAAACCAGCAGCAGGTTACCGTGAAGACTAAACCCCCTGGAACTACGTCAAATAAATGAGATACAGCTTTAAACCGTGGCGATGGTTTGTCCTGTCCTCGGTCTATGGAGCAACCTAAAAACCAATCTCATGTGTTGACAGGAGCAGACAATGACAACGACATGGTGGACCTTTTCAGTTCACAGCTCCACCACCACACATCACTTCACTGGTCTCACACAACGACCTCTCTGTGTTGCTCACATGGAACAAACAGAAACTGGCTTTGAAACGCTCCTCGAGGACGGGGCTGCTGGCGGAGGAGACACAGATGAAGTTATACGTAGAATCCATGAACGGTGGACGTGAATGAGACGTTCTGCTCAGGAAGGGCAGGAAATGAAGCATTAATGAGTCTTCTGTAGCTCGTCTCTACTTTTCCTGGATGTGTGATGTGTGTGTTGTTCCACTTGAAGCTGTGTTTGACTGTGGATGTGATATAACGGCCTGTTTGCCTGCCGTCGTGCTCTGTGGTGACGGACTCCGATGCTGACGTCCTCTCAGCCTCGGTGGAGACAGAGGCCTCGTCAGCTGTGCTACTATCACTGTGAGTGTTTAAACACAGCTGTAGAGTAAAGCAAACACTGGTTGGAGCCAAACTCTGTGTTAGCGCTGCTGTATCATGTGAGTAATAAATGAATGAGGGTTAACTCTCTCCTTGTGTATCTGCATGAACATCAGCATTACCTGCAGGGCAGCATGTGTAGTTGGCTGGTGGAGACAGATCACAAACTTAATACGCACCAGTGTGAACCAAACATCAACTCCTTCTCTTTACATCGGACCATCTCCATCTAAACATTACACTGTAAACTCACTATGACGGACCAAATAAGGAGGACGGTGTTTTCCAGCCAACACTGGCTCAGGCATGGGCTGATCCATGCAGCGCTCTGAAACATCGTTAGACTGCCAGAACATCACATGACGCTGCAGCACATTCTCTCTGCCTCTCTGAGCATGACTGTGGACGAACTGGACGGTCAACAAGACGTAGTTTTGTCTCCAGAGGCTGACAGTACAGGCAGGAACTTTGTCAAACCAAACTTAATTAGCTCCAAAGGTTTCAGCTGGAAACCTCCAACAACAAAGGCATCACTTAGAATCCTTAGTTGGTCAGATTACGCTTGAGGAAAAGTTGTAATCCTTGTACTTGCTTAATGTTTTATCATCTAACTGTGTAATTACTCCTGGTTGTATGGATGTTAGTGGTGGAGTCATTCCATTAGCGTCAAACTCCTTCAGACACACACGGAATTCCCAGGAAAAAAAGACATGTGATACAGCTTTGCTGCTTGTCATTTTTATTTCATCACAGTCAGCCTCGCTGCCCAATGCTGTATTAAATTCCTGCTAATTAGATTCTGACTGAAATATCAGTTGTTCGCTAGCGAAGCTTTGTTGTACAGAATATAATGGAGAACCTGATCCATCCATCTGTAGTTACTCTGTAGAGGATCATGAGGTGGGAACCACTCTGAACAGGCCTCTAGTCCATAAGGGTTAACACAAAGAAACACACCACCGTGCACGCTCACGTTCACAACAATTAATCCACCATGCATGTCCTTCATCTGGGAGAAATCCCAGAGACACCTGCAGAGGCACAAGGAGAATGTGAAAACTCGACACAGAAAGCTTTATCAAACCTGAAACCTGCTCGGGACACTTTGGACATGGTGTCATCATGTCGTTTCTCCAGCCGAGGGCACTTCAGTGTCATTAACTCTCACACTGACTGCAGCACCTGCAGCAGAGCACACAGCTGAGCAGACATGGTGCGGAGTCCAGCAGCGTCTTTAGAGCTAAGCTGCTAGTTTGTGACATATATGGCTTAAAAACTAATAAAAAATGAAATCATTCTCCTTTTCAATACATCTCTACCATACTGCGTTAACATATGTGAAGGAAACCGGTCAATATATCAATATCAGAAGCTTTTACTTCCTTGAACGTGGCATCAGGCCCAAACATGCAGCATCAGTCCGGCTCTACTGCTAAAGTAAACCCAATATTTTGTTGTTTCCCATGAACATAATTCAGCATTTAAGGCGACATCACATGACACAGCTGACGTAAACGGCAACCGATCCTCAAAAATGCAATGTTTTCAGAAAATAACTTTGTAATATTTGCAAGTTCCGCCAAAGAGAAGCCACAGAGACGACAAAAAAGTTGTTTATACCACGATAGCCAATGGATGTCAACAATCCCACCTGGTCCAGGATCTTCAGCAGCACAAGTACAAGACAGAATATTTAAAACGGTCACAACTGAAGTCGAACTCTGCTTTAGACCAGCTGGCAGAAGAGCAAATGATTCCTAAATAGTCTCAGAATCCAACTCTCAAATGTTTTTCATTCCCTGCAGAAAAAAACAACACTTTTCTGTACAAAAGGAAATGCTTCATCGGCAGCTGGTTGTTTTTAGCCGCAGCACAGGGCCTGTAGATAACTCTGGCTGGCATCAGTGCAGTTTGTACTCCGAGTGTCCAACAGGGGGAAGACCAGCAGGGAGCGGTCCTAAAGCCGAACAAAGCCCTGCTGTGTTTGCCGGGCACGCTGACCCTTCCCAGCAGCACCGCTAGAGCTGGCGTCATCAACAGGAAACCTGTCGTCGCTGCTGAGTAAAGAGGAGCCTGATAGAGCTGATAAGAACGGAGACTCTGAGGATGGTCCAGCAGCCTTTTGTCAGAAGACACTTCCTCTCACACACTCAGCAGGGAGGCGACTTGTGGCGTTTTGTCACGAGACTGAGGCTCAACACTGGAAATCAACAAAACACAAGAACCCGTCTGCTCTCTGACCAACGGATATTAGCTCCACCGACGCTCCTTAATGCTCCTCAGCACAGCTTCAGTGGATTATGGGTTACAGAGACGAACTAACTAAACAGAGTTCCTGAAAAAATCCAAAGCCACAGCTAAGTGGCAGTTGGCTTGTAATAACAGTTTTCCTTTTGAAAGGCGTTTGAGTTCCTGCCAAGGACTTCTCGACAAATTTCTGTCATTAATGTCCCACAAAAGAGGACAGGTAAGAAATCGCTAAACTGAAACAGGTAGTGTGGCTGCATAATACAGATTCTATACATATGTCCGGATTAAATGTTTCACGTCAGCTTTTAGTAAATGAAAGTTATTGTCCATGTCAGTGCACAGATGTGTCCCCTACCTGCTGATCACAGCTTCACTTCTATCCCTGGCTGTCAGGGCTTGTGTTGTGGTGATGGCTGCTGAGTGCCATGCAGGCTGGGCCCCATGCACATCTGTAAAAAGAGGCCCGGCCGTGCTCAGATCCACTCCTCTCTTGCCTACCCCGACATTTTCACCCACCACAGAAATCTACTCCAGTGGAATTTCCTCTCACTGGACCAGCAAATGCCCTTAACATGCAGTTTAGAGATACAGCGAGAGAGGAGAGAGCTAGACGCTGGTAGCACCGCTGTGAACAGGAACCGCTATCAAACCGCTGAGTGTGTCTATGCCCTCTACATATTTAATATGAGCAGCAGCACGAGTGGGAAGAGAAACGGGACAACAGATCTCTTTCAATGCACTGCAAAAAGCAAGACGGAATAAATATGTGTGAGCATCCGTCTGCTCCACAGAGGGTCAGTGATCTGTGTCACTTAGTGAGGTCGAGGCTGCAGCGGAGGTCATCAGCCTCAAGGGCAAGAAAACGCCGTCTTCCGTCTGCTTCAGCTCCTCACTGGCGTCATCGGCTGAGGCCATGACAGCGTCCAGCGACAGTGGCATGGCAAACACTGTCATGTGAAGCTACTTTATCACGGTCTACTGAGCCACAAACATGCTGTAAGAATGAAGACATTCTCATTGTGTTTAAACAAGCATTGAAGTTGAACATATTTGTACATATTTACTGCTTCCTGACAATGTGACCAGATAATTGTGAGTATCTCTGAGCAGTGAGGATTGTCACTACTTTGGTCAACTAAATATTACAGCATGTGCAGCAAATATGACCCAACTCGCATTAAACCACAGCTGGACCTTCAGCTGAGCAGCAGCCACAGTGGCACCAAGTACCGAGTAACTGATAGTGGTCAGAACTGTGTGGAAAGGATGGATGGAGCTTCGGGCTTGAAAGTCCAATGCAGACGTGCCCTGAACCTGCACTCTTCTTAATGGCCAGCAGGGGGCCACGGCTCTGGTTGTATGGCACTCTATGAGAAAATGACCCTACTTCCAACTGGACTTACTCCTTCAGTAAACACTTTTCAAAGGGCTTAACAGTCCTAAATGTTAGTTTCAAGTCCCTTTGAAAACCGTATGATGTTTGTTTTGTTGATTATGGTCCCATTTAGAGTAAAACAGACAATAAAGCAGAGCACATTTGGGGCGTAGCGACCTAGTGATTGAGAAGTTGCTCCCACATTGGTTTGCATTGTGTCCTCGTCACATCCGGTTTGAAAAGACCAAGACAGCAGAAGTCAAGTTCCAAGCTTGAGGCTTCAAAAGGAGTCCACAAACAAACAGCAGCACCGGTAGCACCATTAGCCAACATGAGCTACTGGTCTGGAGACTGAGGAGGGCGGAGGCAGCAGAACCCCGGAGGGTACTTCATGAAGAAAGGCTGTTTTGTATCACGTCTAAATGCAGATCTGTTTTTGTAATAGGAGGAATGTTTAAAAAAATAGCTGTCATGTTATTGGACGACATTTCTTACGAACATACTTGCAACACAAACTGCAAAATGTTCTCAGACTACATCAATTAACATGATTGATTACTTTCACTGGGTTATTTTCTGGATGGATCGATCTGCTGGTTTTCTCTGGATCGGTGTCACCACATTGACCAAGTTCCATCTTTTCTTTATACACTTTTGAATTAAACATCCACTTTACTGCACAATTACTAACAACGATTGTGAAAATGTGCGTGAAGCGTGTGAGACGGTCACAGTGAGACGAACACTCCCACAGGACTCCCACAGCAGGGTCCCACATGACGGTGCACGGCGGTACCACCGAGGTATGGGCACACACTCAGCCCGACCAGCACCGCACACCAGCCACAACACCAGCCCATTATGCTGCTGCTACACATGAGCGAGGGGAGTCTGAAAGCATGACCCGGAGCCCCACGGCTGGAGCACACTTCTCTTTTCTGAACACCATTTATCTTTCTGCTCGGCTGCACTGTGTAAGCCGGCGGTCTGAGGGCCGAGAGGCAGGAGGCTTCACCCGACATACCACAAGCACACCGGTGTTGACGGAGCAGCAGCTCTGGACAAGTGTGGATGCGTCCCTAATGGCTACGTGTCTGACAGACAGGAGACACACAGTGAGACAGACAGGTAAAGGTGTCGGCCCGTCAGCCCCCCACCCACCGTCTCCATCCACCAGCAGCCAGGCCGAGGACAGACGAGCTGCTGAGAGCCAGAGGAAGAGGAGTGGGAGGAGAGGGATGACAGGGGAATCTGTGGGCCAGGGGCAGGGAGATGAAAAGGAAGAGGGGGAGGTGGTCCAGGTGTTCAGCTCCCAGTCGTGTGGTCAAACACTCAGAATACGCCATCGCTCTGTCTCTGAGTGATGCACGCTGCTGTAAGGAGAGCCTCTCACACTCAAGGTATTCTGCAGCAAAGGAGCTCAGAAACTAACCGTAGCCCAGCTGAAGTTACAGAGCAGTAAAAAGCAACACATTTCCTTTGCGAACACCACAGCAGCTCACCACAGACGTCAACAAAACCCTCCACACTCTCCATTTTTTCTGCTCGGCTCCAATCAAACATGTGGAAACTGTCTGTAGTGTCCTCATGGCAGGGTGAGAGACGGCAGAGTGGCAGGAAGAAGAGAAGAAACTGACCTTCAAAGTCTGAAATGATCCCTTCCAAGTGAGCGTTGACAGAGGAATCAGACATTTTGGGGAGTAAGTGTGTATGTGTGTGGAGAGGAAGTAGGATTCCCTTTTCCCCAGCAAGGAAAAGTCTTCCTGAGGCGTCCAGTCCCGCTTTAAACAAATCCCAAATTAGGAGCCGTGAAGGGAGAGAAGGGAGGAAGAAGAAGAAAAAAAACGGCAGCGTTGAGCAGCTCACTGATCCAAACCCTCTCCCTATCTCTCTCTCTGCTCTGCTTCTTAAAGCAGCAACTTATTTTCCTCTTCTCCTCTTTCTCAACTTCCAGAGCTTGGAATGAGCGAGCAGTGACAACCCCCCACCCTCCCTCTCTCCCTCTCCAACCCTCCCCCCTTCGCCTTCCCTCCATATCTCCCTCCCCTTATGCAGCCCTCCTCTCAGACTACCTTCTTTCTGTGAAACCTCTCATTTTCGACGGGGCTAGTCGGCGTTCAAACACACTTCCTGCAGGCTCGATCACATGACTCCTGGGCAACCTTTTTTTTCCAGAAGCCTGTTGAATACGACGGCAGCAGCAGCAGCAGCATCCTGCAGCAGCAGCACACGTCCACAGAAGGCATCAGTCCATCTCACTGGGGACGCAGGAGAAGTTACAGTAGGTGGACAATCGGACTAACATGCACTAATATGGTCAGGGCAGGCTCGCACAGGCGGCTCGCAGGTCGTCTGACATGCTCAGTCCGCTCTGGAGGCAGACATCAATAAATAAGTAGCCTAATGACTTAATGACCATGTGAATGAGGCTCTGTGTGAGGGGGTGGGGGGGAGATGTGTACTCGTCTCTGTGCACGAGCTCGGGGGAACGTAAGGATGTTGGGGGAAGTCTCAGTCTGTGTCAATGAACGCATGTCAAGAATGCCAAAGATCATGTAGAGCTGAGAGCATTCAGAGAGTTAAAGGCTGATCTCCACCACCCAGGTACCAGCCCTGGTTCAGTCTGTAGCAGCCACAGGCAAGCAGGGAGAGAAAACAGGGCTGCTGGCTTCTGAACCGTTCATTAGTGAGACGGTAAACACTCACAGGATAATGCTAGTCGCTGTGTGTGCTGCAAGATTCTCCTCTTACAAGGCGCAGAACTCTCATTTCAGACCACAAAGATAGACTGACTCCAAAATAAAGGCAGCAACACCTGAACGACACATAGAGAAAAACAAAGGGTGTCTGGAGAGGTGAAAGGAAAGAAGGAGAAAGACACAGAAAATGTCTTGGATTTGAATTTGGATCAAGAAAAAGTTTCCGTCCCCCCGTAGCTGCTGTCCCACGTGTGATTTATCAACATGAGCTGGGACGACATCCTGCCGTCTGTCAAGCCAACTCGTTGCTTACATTGCAATCAGAGTTTTCTGTTGATTTAGGCGTCGTAAACACAGATGTGCACAGATACACACTGATCTCTGAGAATAAATACGAGGCTTTACTGTACCAAGTCCTGCAACCTGATATTAATCTTACACCACATTTCCCTGCCATTGAACCATGCAAAGAATGTAACCGCAACATGTGGGCAACCTGTGAGCAGAAATTACAAGAGCCAGGACAGGTAAAAACCCTTCTCAGTGTCTGGAATGCCAGATACTCATTATCTCCTGGCACGATTGTGTTTCCTTTGTCTCCCACCTACAGGAGCAGCGTTAGGGCTGTCAGCAGAGACGCTGTCTGTCATGGCCTCCACTCACACGGAGGCTCATCTGTAGTGTCAGCAAGTTCTTCAAGCGCTGTGAAGCCCACAACGTCTCCTAATGTGCCGCGTTGTCCAGCAGAGGTCAGCGTTGCACTGATAAATAAGACCTGTCGCTATGGGCAACCCTGTTGGTGGGGCAGCGTGGCTGTCGTACAGTAACACAATCTGGAGACAGATAAAGATGGAGACACACCCTCAGCCCGCACATGTGGTGGATTCCTGCACGCACGCACACACACACACACACACACACAGTAAATATGTGTGCAGCACATGCATGCTACAGACGTGCACACTGGGCCCTGCACCCAACCCTTCCTCCCAAACACACACATGTAGCTCTATCTTTGTGAGGACACTTGCTGCCATAACGCTCCCTTTACTCCAACTTTAACCGTCACAACTGGGCAACACAAATCTAACTTTAAGCCTAAAACCCTTTCTGAACTCCTGCTAGGCTCCTTGAATGCTTTCAAATGAAAACTCTGTCCACTCAAAGACAGAAAGACATGCACACACAGACAGCAAAGCACACTTCCTTCCACTGCATATCCCTGCAAGCCCCAGCAAGCCCAGACAGCGCTAATCCAATCTGCTGTAACAACTGGCACACTGGGAGCAGACCAGAATGTTTTTCGCCCTGTGAAGAACTTCATTCATATCATAGCAATCATGCGCTTGCACTCAGCATATGTGGCGCTCTGAAAAAAACATTTTTATCTGCTATTTGTGGACCACATGCCTCGAACATGGTATGTAAAGGCCTAGACGTGTGTGACGGGGAGGTTTCATGAGGTGATGTTGATTCCACATGTCAGTGTTCAGATCTTCTGATGGAGCTGATTCCACTACATTTCTGACGCGTCCTCATTCCAGCGTCAGGGTGGATACCGATGTATATCTGCTGTAAGCAAAAGAGTCGATGCTGAATGTGTTCGGGCCTCCTGCCTCCTTTACGCTGTTGTATTGTAAATGGTGTTCAGAGAGACAGAGACAGCCGCCCACGGCTTAAAGACACCCAGACCACCACCAGCACCGCTCCGACGTGGGCCCTGCCCTTGTAGGAGCTGAAAACTGAGAGCAGCAGAGTGGGAGGAGGAGGAGGAGGAGGATGGCTTCTATAAACGGATGCCAGGCTGGCGTGGCAGTTGCTAGGGCAATGCCAGGGCAACGACAGACTGCCAGTGTCAGCGGTCGATCTTCAGACGCACAAACGTGCACAAAGACAGCAACAGGTTGATGTGCATCAGCGCCAGCCGGCCTCCTCCCTGTCCAGACCGCGCCAGCAAACAGACGTCCTGCAAACTCTGGAATCTGAGATGCAGCTCCAAGAAACGCTTCAACGGTAACCGAACCCTCACTGAGCAGAGGAATGCAGCGCTGTACCTGAAATGTTTCATTCATGATTACAGCTGTGTCAACGGCAGAACCTTCAATCTGCTAAAAAGCTCATCTATGCAGCAACTGTGTGTAATGATGGATTTATTGTAATAAAAATGTCCTCACAGCTCTGGATTGAGCCAGACAGCTTTAATTAAAGTGACTCCACCGTGTGAACCTGAAGTCTGTGTGGGACCTGATGAGTAGACCAACACAGAACATCAACTCCTGTCAGAGTCTGTTTAATGAAGTTACTGCTGCAAACCGTGTTCCTGCAGGTACCTGTTAAAGCTGTGGGCAGCAAACAGGCCTTGAGAAGGTGCATTATTGTGTATAAGTTTCAGACATTAATCAAGATGTGCCTGGCTCACATTGTTGGCTGTATTTTGACAGACATGTCGATATGTGAAGTAACAGACACCAATGGGTGGTGAGGAACCACCTGGACACAAGCCGGGACTGGATCCATCCCAGCTGGGTCTCCTCAGTGACACCGTGTGTTGTTTAAAAACCCAAAACACCCAAAGACCTGAGGACATGTCACTGATGATGCGTGCAGGTGTCTGAAGATGATGCACTGCGAGTTAACAGCAGTGTGACAGGAAGCCGACGATCCACAGGAGAAGCAGAACAAGCAAAAGACACGAAAGCTGGTTTGTAATGTTGCAGAGTTTTGTGTGTTTGTGCACATTTGCTGACAAAAGACACAAAAACTGACTCATTTGAATTTTCTGCAGTTTTCATTCTGGAAAAATCTCTGTGCAGAAATGTGAAGAAAAGCCTGAAAGCCTGGAAAGCAGCCCTCTCACTGTGAAACACAACAGTCCGGCCTTGGCCTCTGCAGGCTGAACGCATCGTATGTGTGTAACAAGACGTTTTCCCTCCTCGTCAGCCTCCTCGCTGTTACATTAGCTTTGAATATTGCTGTGTTCACTGTTCCTTCATGGTCAAGTGTGCAACTGCAGCGCAAATAATCAGAACAAGCAGGAAATAACATCAGACATTAACCATGAACCTCCGCTGTATTCTGGAGGCAGATCGGTGCTTTCTAGTATTTGAGGGAACACGACCTCAGAAAGTGTTCAGTGATGATGCAGCTGAACAAAAACAGGTAATATGTTGGTTATAATATTAGACTGAGCCGGTCCCACTGGGTCGGTCATGAACAGATAAGAGAAAAGAGGGAAACACTACAACGACAACTTTATAAAAGCTTTCAGAGATCATTTAATAGATTAATGGAAAGTCCTCATTAAGAAAAATGTTATCTTGGGCAAGTTAAACAGTTTAATAACTTTCTATAAAAGTTGTTTGTTTGCTTGGTTTTATAACGATCAGTGTTTGATTACCAGGTCGAGTCGGGTTTAGACAGTCGTTGTTGTTTTAAACATTACCAGTACCAGCTACAGAGGAAACTCCAGCTTCCTGCTGAGTTCATCCTAAAACAACAAAAGCTTTGTTGGCCTCCACGCAGTCGACTCACCCATGAGTCAGGCTGTATCAAACAGGCCATCTGGAAGAGGTAAAGTCTGTGTGTCGGTGAGTGCGTGCATTGCGTGCATTGTTTGCGTGTGCTCAATTTGTGCATGCATGTATGTTTTGGATGTGAGTTGCTAGTTACTGCAACTCTGTTTACATGGCAACCTCCATAATAAGCTGCCCTACCTGGCTCAGGGCTGCAGAGGGGGGAGGCGGATGAACGAGGCAGAAGGTCGGAGAAGGTGTGCCAGGCAGGAGGAAAGAAAAGACATTCAGAGAGCCGTGAAGTGACACTGAACCCCACAGAGTTAATGGAAACTAGAGGCAGAGAGACTTCTGCTGCTGTGTGTGAGACAGAGACAGAAGGAGGGCAGTGTTAGCAGGACTAATGCAATCAGCAGCACAGGTCATGTACATCCACTAGAACAGCGCCTGGCTTTCAGTACAGCACAGGACTGTGTTTTCAGAATGAGTGGTAGAGGAAGCAGCGCCGCCACAGACAGACACACACGTACAGCCTCACACAGTGTAAGAAGCTGCATCAGTGGGTGAAATGTAAGCGCAGTAAAGGTTCAGCAGGTTGGACACCTTCACAGTATCAGAGACATGAAACCCTGCTGCGGCCCTACAGCGCACACGGCAAAGTGGCTGCATCCAAAGTAGACACACAGCTGCAGTGACAGCAGCTGCTCTGACCAAATGGTAAACATCAGCACCCGGCCAGGCTCCGCCCCCGCTAACCTTAATCAAACACAGC